TTCCCGACTCCCCATCCCTACCTATTCCCGCAATCAACTCCCACTTGAGGGAACACGCATTTGCTCCATCAGAGAGGAACAGTGCCCAGGGACCAGGCAGATGCAAAAGGCTCATCCTGGCACTGGACTGCCCCACCATCCAAGACTTCCATTCTTGGGATCAAACAGGAAATCTGCACCTCCCTTGTAACACCCACCAGGCAGTTGTACATACGTTGAGCTCAGTGAAAGTTCTGTCCCTTCTCAATCCAACAGTAAGGGCATCCCATTGTGAACTTGAGAAGTTAAGGTTAATAGTGCTTGGTGACCTGGGGTGGGGGTGGAGGGACCCTATGGATGTCTCACCAGTGTGCAGAGATCTCACAGTAAAGTCTGGACAGTGAACAGGAGAGGTTGTTAATCTGGCCTTTGCCAAGTTGATTCTGATTTGTTGTTTTTCTTTTCCCTTCCTGGGCTGAGCAGCTCTCGCTCTTCCCCTCCTGTGCTCAGGGCATGTCTCTGAACTTTTCCAGGGCACCCCAGGGAAGTGTGTGTGTGTGTGGGGGGCGCTCCTGGAATTGCAGGGGCTGCCAGACCCTCAAACAGCTGGAGCAATCAGTAGGATGGAAGAAGCATTGAGAGGGGACGGTTGGCTTTTTGTTCTGAGACTCTCCCAGCAGATACACCCTGGGAAGCCACCAGTACCTTTTAGAAAGTCCAATGAGAAATGTAGACAGGGAGAACAACTCAAGCTCTCCCAGTGTCTGACACCCACATTCCCCTCCCGGGGTGCACCCTCTGCTTCCAGCCTGGAGCAAACAGCTACATCTCTCCCCAGGGGTGGTAGAAACCGACTAAGTGCCCAGCACAGCTTCTGGTCCCTATTAGGAGGTCACAGTTGTCCTTAGCAGGAAGCCACCGCCCTGTCATTTTCACCTGTACCCCTGGGCCAGTATTCCACACCTCAGTGTCCAAGGAGAACGTCCAAGAAATAATCACGCGCTCTTTGTTTGCATGTGCAGACTCATAGTACCCGTGTTTCACACCAGCGCAGGACCTCCGCATCTGTGTGCGTGCACAAGAATTTATCAAGCGCCTGCCACCTGCCACCAGGGCCCCATTGGGCCGCAAGCACGGCCCTGGCCGACACAGGGGGCTGTTTGGGGCGACCACGTTGGGCGGGCCCTGGGTGTACAGACTTCTGTGTTGCTCGGGGTCTCATCGCGAAAGTTCGGGCGCCAAAGGCTGTTGAACGTCCTGCATCCTTCCAGGTTTCCGGACCAGAAACAAGGGCGAAAATTCGCCGTTTTTTCTTTCTTTCTCTTTCTCCTCCCCATTCTTCCCGGTACCGAGAGCCTAGCGTTCCAACCGCCACCTCTGGCCAGCTCCGCTCATGGAAGCCACTCTCCCGGCAGCCAGGCGGAGACGTCGCCTGAATGCGAACAGGAAAGGAAGCAAAGAAGGGGGAAAAAAAAAAAAAAAAAAGGCCCCGGGGAGGCCTCGGCAAGCGGTGGGAGGTCCGCGCCCCACGGTCCCGCGCAGCCCTCCAGGCCTGCCGGGTTTGGCTCTGGCTGCTCCCTGGGCCTCCCAGGCTGCCGAGCCAAAGGCCGGCTCCGACACGCACCGGGCCTTTTGTGCGAGAGAAACACAAAAGAAGGGAGAAAAACGCGTCTTCCGTTTGGACGGAAGAGGCCAAACAGTTCCAGGACGCCCCGGCCAAGCCTAGAACTCCCGCCGCCCAGACCGATTCGCCTCGGCAAAGCGAGTACGCACTCCTAGGGCAGAGGCTGTGGCCCAAGCAGTGCACGTTGATGGGAACGTTTGCGCGGGAGCGCAGGGACGCCGGGCCCGGGTCCGGAACTCTGAGCGGGACTCAGGAGGCCGGACGCAGGTGGCCTTCCCTCCTGTTTTGCTTTTATTCCTGGGGGGTCGGAGTGGGAATAAGAGCTCAGCGAGTGGCGCCCGGTTTGCCGGCTGGACTGTAAGGAGCCTCGGGAGAACATCGAAGGATCCCATCTCGCGAACAGTGCTGGCGAAAGACAGGACGTGGTGGCGATCCGCGAGCGCTCAGCGCGCTGGGGAAGCAGGAACGGCGGGAGACGCCGCCGCACAGCCCAGAGGCGTCACCCTCGGCTCGGGCTGGGGTGGTCACGGGGGCGGGCCTCGAGGGGACCTGGAGCGCAAAGCCAGCCCTGCTGCGGGCGGACGGTCTCTTCGATATTTTGGACTCTGAGGAGCGCCGCCAGCTTGAAGCCCTTCTCGGCCTCCAACTCCAGCCATTGGACCAACCAGGCCCGCGCACTCTCTTGGCGGAAGGCCGGATGCGGGAGAGGCACTAGTAGTAAGCGACAAAGGAGAGGAGCCACGGGGCCAAGGCGTCGGTACAGCCGGCCGGCAGGACTAACCTCAGCTTCCGCCTGTGTGGCTCAGACGCACTTGTAAACGCCCAGCTCTACCCTCCGACGTAAGTGTCCTGAAGGGCGAGCCCCTCCTGCCGGCCTCACCGCGGGTGGCCCGAGCTGCCCCACAGCGGCGACGCTCCAAGGTCCCGCACTCTTCCCCATCGGCCTCAAGGTGAAGGATTCCTCTAATCAAGCGGCTTCTGGGTCGTCTTCGTAACCCCTGGAAGATATATCGTCACTCTTCACTTCTTAACTTCTTAAATATATATTTAACGGGTGGCTGCCGAGCCAGCTGGAAAACATGTGGGCTGAGAAATTATGCTCTGGAAGGCACGAGGCTAGGCCCCTGACGAGACCTCCTCCCCCCCCTCCGCCCCGTTCCATTCACTCTGTGTTGGCTTTATTCTGCAACTTTGCTATAAGAAAGGTCGATTATCTGCTGCATTTTTTACGTCTGTTGTGTGTGCTAATTTTGAAAAACATGCACGCATATTAAAAAGTCCCAGGTGAGGGTGGAAGCAACCAGAGCAGTACCAACACCCTCTGACAAAACTGGCAGTGGTGTGTGTGTGTGTGTGCGCGCGCGCGCTGCGTCACGAGCTCGCTTGCATCCCAGATCACAAGAAACAAACTTCTGGATCTCCAAAGAGAATCACTTGGGTGGGGGGCGGGGGGCGAGGGAGGGAGGGAGGGGGACGGGAAGGAGGCAGGCCAGGGTTTGGGGAAAAGACTGCGTGTACCTCTCCAAGGCTTGCGACTGCAGAACACCCTGCACTTCACCCTGTTTCTCTCCGGAGGCTGGCCGCGGACGCCACCTCTGTATTTTCCCACCTGCACAATGGGCAAGTGCGTAGGGCCCTTCCGAGTACCTCCGTTAGGTGCTTCTCTGGAGCGGATTGATTCTCCGCTTGATCGAAGGTTTCCAGGTGTCCGCCAGGAAAATGTGTCCGAAACCGGGCCCACCGGAGGATCCATCTCGCTGCCCTCTGACCTCCCATTGCGCAGAGGCGCCTAGAGCTAGGTCTTTGCGCACCGGCTCCTTCTCTCAAGGCTTAGAAACCCTCACAAAGGCGAGGATGATACTCGGGGTCCACTGCCAATAGATGCTGTGGGAGTGAGGGGCGCGGGACACAGTCGGTCCTGGCGTTGGCGCGGTTACTGCGCCGAGAAACGCTCTTCCCCACGCTCTTCCCACTCCTACCCAACTTGAAGATCTCTTTGGAAGCCGCGTTCTGAAGAGTCGGTTCCTTCCCGACCCTCCCGGAGCTCCTTCAGACCCGGCCCCCAGCTGGGGGCGCTCCCGGCCACCCGCAGAATGCAGCAGCGATCCCGAAAGCGCAGCTTCTGCGACTTGCTTTTCCCTTTACATTTGGGGGCTCCCAAAGGCGCACATGTTGATGAAACCCACCGCTGGAAACCAGCGGTGGGAACGGAGAGAGGAGAGTCCGCGCACCAGGCTGCCGGGAGCCGTGCCTGTGGTGACCCCAGCCCAACCCAGTCCGCGTGCGGCGCGCGTATTTTCTTAGAAATAGAGCCACGCTCTCGCTTGCCCTCGGCCCTCGGGGCGCGCCGGGCACCTTTCGGTTTCCCCACAAGCCCACCCGCCTCCGCCCAGGCGGGTCTCGCAGCGCCCGGCCCTCCTCCTTCAGTCCCCGCTCGCCCAGCTCCGGAGCGAGTGTGCCCATTGGCTGCACGCAGGACCGGGAGGCGTGTGCCGCGTCGGGCGGGTTTCATTGAGCGGAATTAGCCGGGATGACATCAGCTTCCCAGCCCCCCGGGCCGGCCCCGCTCATTGGCGCGGCGGGCCCTCCACGGCAAGCACATTGTTCCCCGCCCCCCGCCCGGGCTGCCGCTGCCGCCTGCGCCGCCGCCGCCACCCGCCTATAAAAAACCAGCCGAGCCCCGAAAGGTGCGGATGCTTATCACAGCCCGAGACGGCACCAGCGCCCCGGGTCCGGCTCTGCGCGGTGGCGGCGCTTCGAAGTCGACTCCTCCATACCGCATCCGTAGTAAGTGTCCCCGCCCTGGTTCCGCCCAAGCAGCCCCAGCTCAGAGTCCCCAGGGATAGACGTACCCCCAAATCGGCTACGACCTAGGATGCGACCCTAAAGGGGGCCGTGGGCTTGCCCTCGCTGAGCAGTTTTCCGGGGCCGGGAGTAGGTGATCAGACCCTCCCTCTCCCACACCGTCATCCAGCATTTTTGCGCTCTAAAGCCAACGCCCGGGCGGCGCGACGGCCTGCTTTCTGCCCAGGGTGGGAGATCCCGAGTACGGGTGTACGGGTGTGCGAGTGTGTACGCCACGCGGTGTCGACCAGGATGAGGTAACTGCATCAAATAGTTTTCGCTCCTTGGTCCCCGGTTCGTTCCAGTCCCAGCACTCAGCTTTCCCGTTCCTAATGGAAGGCACAAAGTCCTCTAGGATGCCCGTCCACATCGGGACCCCGGATACTCCCTAAAACAACCTGTGGATGAGAGGAAGGGAGAGATTGGTCACCTAACCTGGGCCCCGGGCCGTGGCGCAGGCGCGGGGAGCTGTCCAAGTTCTAAGTCTGTCTTTCTCTCCGAGAGCCCAAGAAAGGAGAGGATCCTGCGAAAGCAGCGGCCATCCACCTGGGCCATGGACTCGGACGCCAGCCTGGTGTCCAGCCGTCCGTCGTCGCCAGAGCCCGATGACCTCTTCCTGCCGGCCCGCAGCAAGGGCAGCAGCGGCTTCACGGGTGGCACCGTGTCCTCGTCCACACCGAGTGACTGCCCGCCAGAGCTGAGCGCCGAGCTGCGCGGAGCCATGGGCGCAGCGGGCGCGCACCACCCCGGGGACAAGCTCGGCGGCGGCGGCGGCTTCAAGTCCTCCTCGTCCAGCACGTCGTCGTCCACGTCCTCGGCGGCCGCGTCGTCCACCAAGAAGGACAAGAAACAGATGACCGAGCCGGAGCTGCAGCAGCTGCGCCTCAAGATCAACAGCCGCGAGCGCAAGCGCATGCACGACCTCAACATTGCCATGGACGGCCTGCGCGAGGTCATGCCTTACGCGCACGGCCCGTCGGTGCGCAAGCTCTCCAAGATCGCCACGCTGCTGCTGGCGCGCAACTACATCCTTATGCTCACCAACTCGCTGGAGGAGATGAAGAGGCTTGTTAGCGAGATCTACGGCGGCCACCACGCCGGTTTTCACCCGTCGGCCTGCGGGGGGCTGGCGCACTCGGCTCCTCTGCCCGCCGCCGCCACGGCGCACCCAGCGGCGGCGCACGCCGCGCATCACCCGGCGGTGCACCACCCGATCCTGCCACCTGCCGCGGCCGCCGCCGCCGCTGCCGCTGCCGCCGCCGCCGTGTCCAGCGCGTCTCTGCCCGGCTCCGGGCTGTCTTCGGTCGGTTCCATCCGGCCTCCGCACGGCCTGCTCAAGTCTCCGTCGGCCGCAGCGGCTGCCCCTCTGGGGAGTGGAGGCGGCGGCAGCGGTGGCAGCGGGGGCTTCCAACACTGGGGCGGCATGCCCTGTCCCTGTAGCATGTGCCAGGTGCCTCCGCCGCACCACCACGTGTCGGCCATGAGCGCGGGCAGCCTGCCTCGTCTCACCTCGGACGCCAAGTGAGAGCCCGTGGGCGCCGGCGCGTTCTGGCGAGTTGGGGGCGGGGGTTAGGGAACCCGAAGGGTCGGTGGGGAGGGGGGAAGGGAGTCTGCCCATCGCTGTAGTGGGCTCTAGAACTGTGCGGTGACCACTAGAGACACGGGACCTCGGGCTACGCGTGGGTGAATTGGAGTGAGGGCGGCGATTGCAGCTGCGGGCATCCCCAGCCGCCCCTGAGCTCGCTCTTAAGCTCACCGAGTCCTGAGGAGATGGACGACCTTGGCGCCCCGAGGACTCGGTGGCTTGAAACAGCCCTGGTGAAGTGGGCACGGCCTCCGAGAAAGACTCTACTGCGCACATTCCTCACTGGAGTCCCCTGCCCAGGGACAGCTTCTAAAAGCCAGATTCCCCGAGAGCACAGCCGGACTCCCCGACTCGACCAGCGCTTGGTGGGAGGGTAGGGGCGCGCTGGTCTTCTCTTTCCTCCTCCTCTCTCGGCCGGCCGACCCACTCCTGTAGAAATCTGTCCCCGGTCTTTGAGTGTGGACCCTGGCCCGGGATGGGGAAAGGAGTTGATTCGAAACTCGCGTTGGGTAACAGAGGCCCCTAAAGATCGCGTCCAGTGCCCGGTATGGGGGTGCGCCCAGGCTACTTCAGCTAAGAACTGTGATGGCTCTTTCCAGCCTGTTCAGCCGATTTGGAGGTTTGTGGTTTTCTAGGTCAACTGTGGGTTTCCCCCCGTTTCCCAACAGTATGGACAGACGCTACGAACAGAACTACTTGTGGATTTAAGTAACCCCAAACTGCCGATTGTGGTGGGAACGCCGAGGGGTGGTATTTTTGTTTTGTTTTTAGTTATTTAAAAAGTAGGAAGCTAGCGGTCCCCCTTTCTCTTCGTTGAGCACAAAATTGATTTTTCTGACTACGGGCTGTGTGTTTTGGTGTCCTTCAGGTGGACCGCCCAGGCAATGACGGTAGCCATGAAGATAGCCTGGACTATTTTTTTTTTTTTTTTTTGGTGTTGGGGTGGAGGGGGTACAGTCGTCTTTTTGCGTTGTTTCTTTGAGGGATGTGTGGGTGGCCTAACGAGGAGGAGGTAGGTGCCAGCCCCACCGCGCACGCGAGTTTCCCCCGGTCTGGGTTTCTCTATAGGATCACGGAGCACCGCAGGCCTTAAGGCTCCACGTGCGTGCGGGGCGCGCCTCCAGGAGCCTCGCCTTGAAGGGCTCCGCAAGCACCTGCCGCGCCGCCTCCCCCTCCTCCGATAGCACGGCCCCTCGCAGAGAGTGTATGATCTGTTTTATTTTTGTAAAAAAAAAAAAAGTGCTAAATAATATTTATTACTTGTTTGGTTGCAAAAAAAAAAAAACGAAATAAATGATCCAGTGTTGAGATTTTAAATAAAAATGTCAAAGTTGAGCGTTTTGCGTCAGTGGGAGAGAAGGCTCAGGTGACCGGGGACAGGGTGCAGGACGGATCCTGCGAGGTCGCCTTTGGGGGTATGTGCCGAGAGAACGGTAACTTCGGCTATTTTCCACAACTTGCTCATTTTTATTTTGTGTTCGGGCGCTTCATCCGCAGCAACTTTCCCTGGAGTTAGCTTCGAAGCAGGTTTTCTTCTCGAATTCTTGGAGCCTTCCGCGGCTGAAACCTCGTCTTTGGCGGGGGTACAAGAGCTGCGGCTTCCTCCGCCCCTGGGCTGGGCTGCGGTCCAATCATTTAAGGGACCTGCTTGGGCCTCACACACAGCACCGGCGGGAAGGCTGGGTCTTGGCCAAGCGCCGCTGAAACGCTGGGCGCTAAGTCTCTCACCCTTTCTCGGTCCTGGAGAAGATCCCCACCCCCAGTCAGGCGCCAGACCCCGGGGCTCGCTGCACACAATGTATACAATCTCCATACTGCAATATAAACCTAGGATGTGACTAGATGAAGATTTGAAACCAAATCTTGCCCTCAGGGGCGCGGATCGCTTAGAGGACTGGCCAGACGCGGGAGCCGCAGACTCCAGCAGCGAATGGCCAGCATCGTCTCTCTTGGTTACAGGGCAAGAATGCCCCTGGACCTGCATGGGGCGTTGTGGGTGAAGACTTACCTGAATACAGAATCATTTCTGGGCCCCTGAGCCCGGTCCACATAGGTGCCAGTTGCTCCAGCCCCGAGCTTGGGACAGGAACGTGTGGGTCCTGCAGTGGGTAACTTGGGCCCTACGGGCTTCCCCCGCAGAATTGAAGGCATATCAGACGAGGGGTGGGGTAGTCAGTGGTGGAGTTGAGTGGCTGTGTGGCCAGCAACCCAAAGGTGGGACCTAGCAGCACATTCCCAATGCAAGGAGTGAGCAGGGCAAGGATTAATCACCACTTTTACTCCAAAATTCTGTTTGGAAGGAAACTTTCAAAGAACTGAAAAGTTAGTCCAGATTCAGCCATAAACAGAAGGCTACGGTGGGGCGCTAGGAGGCTGGAATTTCGAATGGCGAGAGCCAAGAGCCAAGTGGAGCTGGAGCTGGCCATGGGGAGCGGTTCCATCCCGTTCAGGTATGCGCAGAGTAAATCAATCCAAGCTTCCCTTCTACTCGCCCGGCCGGGAGAGCTTTCTGCAGCTTGCAGCTGCCAACCCGCCTGGACGCCTGATCTGCTAGGGAAGAGGGAGGGCTGTGTTCCTGAGAGGCCCTTCCTCAGCCGCCTGTCTCAAGTTCTCGGCCGCCACGGGTGAGCCCCAAGCGTTCCCAGACGGTAAGAAGCCACAGCCAGGCTCGTGCTGGCGCACACAGCACCCAGCCTTTTGGAGCAAGTGGTTGCTTGCCGAGGGTGGCCCAGGCCTGGCACCAGTCAAGCCATAGGTCTCCTCCGGGCTTCAGGGATGGGGCGGGAGAGGACTGGCATAGCTCAGCTTTCGGTTTCCGATGCCGTTTAACAACTCCTATTGAGAGAAGGGCAGTAGAAGGAAGCAGGACCCGATGGAAGGTTAGCGCTGCCGTCTAGACCAACCACCCCCAAGCGTGTAAGTGCATGGCCCTTCAGGTCCCCCAGCCCCAAGCTGCGAACCCCCTAGACTCATCAGGATGCGGAGGACCACAAGACCTCCAGCACTTGGCTATCCACTGCAGACCGCAGTGGGCAAGAACTCTGAGCCCCCAGGCACCTTACAGAAGGTGGACTTGGGCGGTCCCATATCCCCCGGGGCAGGCAGTGAGCTGGCGTGAAGCAAATCCACATCATGTGCATCTCAACCAGGATGTGTCACCAGCCCAGCTAGGCTCAGAATGAGGCTGTGGGAAGACCCTGGTGAGAAGATACATCCTGCTTGCTCCCAGAATGGAACCATCGGAGTTCCCAAAGCAGCCAGAGCGAAGGAGAGCCGGCTTAACATTGCCATGGCTCAAATTAGCATGGAGCTAAAGATCTGTCTGCCCCTCATAGGGTAGGACCCATGCCCAGCAATGTGGCCAGTTCATTGAAGAGGCAAGGCATTCCTGCCGTCCTGCCTGTTTCTCATTCTAAGTGTCCCCTTGTAGATTTTGAGCTGAGTCCCCCCCCCCCCGCGCCACCCCCCATACACAGGTGCTCTAGGGAATCCGTAGAAGTCTTAGGGGCATTTGGCAAGAGTTTCCAGACACCTTGCAAGGTGACCACCCTCCTCTTTCAGGACCTCTGTAAGGGATGCCCAGTACCCACTTTGGTTTTTCCCCGAATAAGGGGTTTGGCTGCATTCAGCCCTACCTGGTTGGGTGAGGGACTTGGGACAGCCACAGACAAACAGGGCCGTCTGATTCGAAGGCTGACAGGGTCTCCTAGGTGGGACAGAGATAGAGATTCCATACACACTTCCAGCCCCTTCCCCAACCTCTCTCTCCCAGGAGTTACTGGGGGCTGGGTGAAGGAAGGCGGTGTGGACCAGGCAGAGCCCAACTGGGAAGAGGGAGGTGGAGTTCCCCGTGCTGGGGGATGAGGAGGATTGTTGATTATTACTAATAGGAGGCTGGAAGAAGAGGTGGCTGCGGGCTAGCAGGCTAGCGGGCTAGCTGGTGTTAAGGAAGGAGTTCAGAACTTTGCCTAAGTCCCTTCATTCCACTTCCAGGCAAATCCTGGAAGAGCAGCCGTCACTGATCCACATTACAGTTGAGGAAACTGAGGCACAGAGAGGGTAAATGAGGCACACCGGGCACAAGGAACCTGACTGCAGAGCCCAAGCCCTGACAGGCACCCTCTCACCCCACCCTCATAATCCCCAATCTGGGGCTGGTGCCATGTCTCAATCCTCCCTCTTCAAGTGCCAGCATCCCAAAAGGGTGCAAGCTCATGTCCTGGCTGCTCCACTTCCCATCCAACTCCCTGCCTGTGGCCTGGGAAAGCAGTGGGGACAGCCCAAAGGCTTGGGACTCTGCACCAGAGTAGAAGACTCAGAAAAAGTTCCTGACCCATGGCTCCTGGCTTTGGGTCAGCACAGTTGAGGGCATTGTGGCCTGAGAGTGAACCAGTGGATCAAAGATCTCTCTCAGTCTGCCTTTCAACTAAAAATAAATAAATAAATCTTTAAAAAACATTCCCAAACTAGCATCAACCACAGGGTACTTACTCTCCAACACTGCACCCCAACCCCTAAACGGTGCTCCCAGCCCTCCTCCCAGGTGCCTGGACTCCATCTGTCCCCATCTGGGTGGCGGGTGGTGACAGGAGACAGGCTTTAGCAATTAGTGGCTCCGGTGGGCGCGTGGTGCGGGTTGGAGGCAGGGCAGGAGCAGGTGAGCTGAGGCTCTCTCTCATTAAGGACTGTCGTTAGAGCCCAGCCAGCTGCTGGCTCGGCTGCAGCGGACTCTCAGGTCGTGGCCCCTGCGCGTGGTGTGTGCCACATCCCGGCGCTAACTGAGAAAGGAAAATAAACCCCTACTCGGTGCCAGGCGGGCTGCCAGAGCTGTGCCTCTCCCATTTTACAGCACACTGAGGACACGTGGCCTGGCCCACAGATGTCTCCGTTTACAACACTGGAAAGCCATCTGGCCCACCGGGACAATTTGGCGGAGTTGT